AATAAGAAAAGCGAGCGGAGGCCGGGGCCGAATTTTCAGAGCCCACATTCTTAAAGCTTCAATCATTTTCAATCAACACATTTAAAATTCTCCAAAAGAATTTTATAATTATATGGATTATTACTTTCAGATTTGCAATGAAAATTTACACATATAATTACCCAGTTTAATCCTTCCAAATCCTCGATCCTTGGAGCAACCTCAACTTTGAGTTCCTACAACTTCAACAAAAATATACCTTCTATAAAAACGTGCTTTCATAACAAAATTGAATTAAATTTGTATAATATGAGAGTCACTTACAAAGGAAAATGGAGATTTTCTCAAAATCCCTAAATCCTTCTCTCCGAAAATTCCTTCCCCTAGCCTTCGATTCCTTCTTTTATCTTCAATTTAATGTTTCTAATGATTAGAGAAATAATTAGGAAACAATTTATACAAAAAATTATAAAACAAACCTTTTCCCTTTTTTCCTCGTCGTTCCTCTCACTCGTTGAAACTTCTCCCAAATTTATCTCACCTTTAATTGTGGGAATGAAAAGGAAATGATTATTCTCATCCTTTAACGTAATTGATTGATAAAATTGAAAATAAAAAACGAACTTACCTCGCTCTCCCGCACGCAGCCGTCCGTCCGCTCCTCTCTCTGTTTTGCAAACAGCAAAGTCGGCCCCTCTGTTGGGGTCACGGCTATTAAGCAGTTTGGTTGAACCGGCCCAGCCTAAACCGGTTATCACACTTTCAACGTAGTCTTCTACGGTCTGATTGCTATCTAAGTTGAGGTCGAAGAACGATGATTTGAGGATATCAACTTGGCGTTGATCGTTGTAAACAAACCCGTGATTAAGTTTTTGGATCCGCCATACATGGGTAGAGAAGTTTATTAAAGTATTGGAGAGGGAGTGGTATTGATTCTTCTCTCCTTTCTTCCTTAGGTAACGTATCATGCAAGTATAATGGTGGAGAGGGGAGTTGGGTGGTCGGCCAAGACTAAGAGGGAAAGTTCTTTTCACAAAATATGAAGTTGAATTTCAGATTTGAGTAGGAGGGGATTAGGATTTTGAATTTTGAATTTCAATTAAGGGGAGGGAAAGGAAAGACACTCCTTAAAGAGAGAATTGATTTAGGGTCCAAGAAGGGTGGAATTTAATGTGAAGAGAGTGGGGGAAGGAGGGAGGGGCCGGCGGCATATTTAGGTAGGGTGGGGCTTGGGGGAAGGGAATTATGGCTTGCCTTATCAAGAACCTCAAATTGGGAATAATTGATTTAAATCAAATCCAATTTGAAATTAATTAAACTTGATTTAAGTAACTTTCCTAAAATAAGTCATCGTATTTTAAGAAATAATTTCAAATTCAAAATTAATTGGAAATTGAAATCAATAACTTATGTGTAATAAATTGAAAGTACTAAATAGGGATTTGAATTTTTGGAGGCAAGGGGAAGGGGATGAGGCCCGCGGCTAGGGTTGAGCTAGGGTTGGGGCCAGCGGTTTGGAGGAGGGAGGGAGCCTTGAAGTTGATGGTTTTGAGAGGAAGGGAGGGGCCTTATGGCCGGCAGCTTGGAGGTGGGAGATGGGAGGCCAGCCGGGTTGTGGTGGTGGTGGGGTTCGACCAAGAGAGGGAGGAAGGGAGATATGGTCGGCAGTTTGTGGGGGAGAGGGAGAAGGGGAAAGAGGAGGTCGACCACGAATCCGGATGCTTCCCGCGGTTGGTGGGTATTGTGATGCCCTCACCTAGGGATTTCGATCTCTCCAAGAACTCTCAAGCTCTCCCAAAATATACAAGTGCAAAAATTTCTTGTAATAATATTCATTAAGCATCATAAGCCTAAAAGGAGGCTATAAATAGTCCCCAAATACAATAATAGAACAAAAGACAATATTGCCCCCTGGGGTCACAAACACCTATTCCCTCAGGTGATGGTAAAATAAAAAAATAAACAACAATAAATCAAATACAATAAATAAATAAATAAAAAGCGGTGTAATCGTGGCCATCGATCGTCGGCCCCGTCTTTGGTAAACTCTCCAATCGCATTGCCGTCTCCCATATCTTTGATGATCATCATCATTAGCATTCCTAAAAAAGCAAGTTATTTACTATTTTTGTTGTTGGATTGTACCATTGTTCAATTCAAGGTATGTTGAGTATTTAATACATTTTAAACTGAATTGACTCGTCATGATATTGTTTGGGTAAAATATGAGAACATTGTTCTGTAATCTGTATTTTTTATCAATAGGAAGCTTGTTAATTGGTAGAACATCGGAAGAACTAGCCATCTTGGAGGAAAGAGTCAGGCTTCTTTCTTACACTGGGCTGAGAGTAGAATTCTTGTCTTCGAATTCTTTGCTTTCTAGGGAGCCATCACTTGAAGTTGGAAAAGAAGGTGGTGCTGCATTTTTTCCAGATGATTGCCAGATAGATGCCTTTAATACTGCTAGTTTCATTGAAAAGGTAGCGTGGATGATTTTTTTGTTATTTTTAAAAAAATCAGTTTGCTAATTATTATTGTAGTTAATTAGGGATTTTTGATGAAAACAGACTATTGTGTTAGGGTAATAATTGCTTTGCCTCTAAAGGAAGATACGCTGAATTCTACAATGACCCTGCAAAATGCTTAGTCAGGTTTCAATCTTTATGCCCTTTCATTATGTAACAGAATTGTTTTTTAAAATGTATTATTGCCTTGTAATTCTCAAGACAAATCAGCTTTTTGAATATTTAATACTGCGCAGATCAGAAAGAAATGGAGAAGCTGAAGCTATTCAGACTTCTAAGAACATCCTGTATTTTAAGAAGGCTCTTGTTCTTGCGGCAGGTGCTTGGAGTGAGTGTTTGATGAGAAGCCTTTTTGTTGAGACCGACATTGTCCCAGTACCTGTGAAGCCCAGAAAGGTTTCTTTAAAAATCATCTTATGTGCCTTTTTCCTTTTAGTACATTGTCTAAGTGGTCATTGGGATCACTTTTGCTTATTTTATTTTATTTTTATTTTGTTTATATTTTAACATGAAATAAAACATGTTTGACTTCTTAAATATAGATTATTTTTATTTTTATTGAATATCAAATAAGTTGGTTTATACAATGATGGTGGTTGTCAGTAGGCATTGGCTAACAATGATGAAGATGGTAGTGGTCTACGACATTCATTGTTAGCTGTGCTAGTTATTTTTTAAAGCTCCAAAATATTTAAAAGTTGATGACTATTTTTAAAAATAATTTGATTTGTTTTCAAAAATATAAAATAAAAATAGCAGTGAAACACAATAAATAAATATGTTTTTTTTTTAAATGTCAAACAAGCCTGGTTATTGACATGCATAGCCTACTGTATTTGTGTATAGACCATTCTCATCTAGTTTTGATGTATTTAAGACAAAATTATCAAAATGGTCTCTCGAATTTTTATGAAAGATCAAAATGATCCCCAACTATATTAAAGAACTATTTTGGTTCATCAACTCTTTAAATAGGAATCAAAATAGTACCATACTATTTTAGTTCCTCTTTAAGAAGTTGAGGGACTAAAATGATCCTTTAATATAGTTGAGGATCATTTTGATCATTTATAAAGAGTCAATGAACCATTTTGATCCTTTCATGTATTTAATATTCCTGCGAGTTGTGCAACACTCATGCACATGATGAGCGTACCATATGTTTTTTGGAATCCAACACCATACTAGTTAACAAATAGTGTACCTCTTTTTAAATTTTATGCTTAACATTCGAAATATGTATACCTTAATTTTCTCCCATATTAGAATTTACAGAAACATTCTGTATGTTGAGCAAGTTAGTAAGATCATTATGTATGTACGTGCTTGTTTTCTATCTCCAACCCTTCTCCATGTGAACCTACAAATTATATTGAAGAATTTCTCAACGGCCAACTCTATGAATTCCGTACTAGAGTTTCCCGTTTTGCTTTGACGCAAGATATATTAGCTCTTCTGTTTCACTTGGTAAGTAGGAAGATATTGGCTCATTTATTTCCTGTGTTTAGCACTATGGATCATCACTTCACAATTTTATTCCTTGGCATTGCTGCTTGGCCAAGACTTCTGTTTGTTTATTTTCAATTCTGTGAAACTCAATATATCTAGTTTTCAATACTTATCTCCTTACTCCTGATGCATTCTTTTATAAATCAACTCGGACCATCAGGTCAAATCTGCACTGTATTCCACACTTTCCTTTTTATTCCTTCTCATTTCCTCATATCTACCAATACTAATCAATCAATAACTTGTTCCCTCTTTTCTTATCTTCAGGGACACCTAATTGTTTTAGAGAATTTCAATGGCATTCAACTGAACCATGGCCTAATGGAGGTTGGGTATATGGATCATCAGTTTGCCAGTTATCAGCCAGTTGACAATAAGCAGCACTTTTCCTCTGTTTCAATGACAGCCACAACTGATATGAATGGAAATCTTGTTTTGGGTAATTTCTTCCATGCTTGTTTTTAGCAGATCATGTTGCATTATCTTCCACAACTTCCATGGCCTGATTCTGCTGGTCGCTTTGTAGACTATAATTTATAATTACCTGTAGTTTTAGACTTTGTTTGGGACGGCTTTCTTACTGCTTCTTAAAACAGTTTTTCAGTACAAAAATTTTAAGTTTTGTACTAAAAAGTTAATTTAAGAAGCAGCAAAAAAACCATCCCAAACGAAACCTTATCCTTTAGATCGTTCTTTCCGTTCTTTTTTTCTTACTGCTGCGAGCTTCATTGCATTGATGATTAATTTTGTACAATTTAGTGCATGCTCAACTGTACTTCTTCAATCATTCTTCCATCTCAGGAAGCAGTCGCCAATTCTCTGGATTTTGCAAACAAGTAGAGGAACCAATAGTCAAGAGTATTTTAGAGCGTGCAGCTGAATTTTTTCCAACTTTAAACAATCTTTTTCTCAAGCTAAATGAAAATGGAAAGATAAGAGTAGGATTTCGTCCATATAGTAAGCCTTCATGTGGATACTTTACTTTTGTCGCTAAAATTGAATTGCTTTCATAAAAATTATAATGGGAAAACATGTAGGCTAATTTGGGAATCTTTTTATTTCAGTGCCTGATGGTAAACCGGTGATAGGGCCCATTCTCAGATTTCCAAAAGTTTTCCTAGCTACTGGACATGAAGGAAGTGGACTCTCATTGGTATATTTACTTTTAACTTGCAAATGCTTCCATGTTGAATGAGTTTTACCATTATCCTGTTAGAATTTTTTAGAGTTGCTACATTTAAAGATATTATCATATCAATATTATTTCATGTATTTAATATTTATTATAAAACTTTATAATATTTATTATTACATTTTTGAGGATCTTTTTTTATTGCATATTTCTTTTTTACTTTTTTCTCAATATATTTTCATATTCAATAATAAGGCCATTGTTGTTCTAGCTTTCTTTTAGCACAGCCATTGTCATCTCTTATTTTTTGAATCTGTGGATTTGTAACTGAAAAGTATCATTGCCAGTTTTGTGTTATGAAAATTGACCACTCATACAAGCCTTTAGTATAATCAGTGCCAAGTTCAAATGTTAAATAATTCCTGAAATGCTGATATAAGAATTCAAACCTTTGATGCTATCTCAACTATCTATCATTAGGCCTCTTTTAATTGAATTTTCATTACAGGGTTTCATTACTTTGGTGATTGTTATTTTCTTAGCTCAAGGTTTTGTTTGAGACAACTTTCTTACTGCTTTCTAAAACAGCTTTTTTGTACAAAAATTTCTTGAACTCGAATGTTGTTTTATAAAATAGAAAGAAAACTGTCCCAAACTAAAGATTTCATCGGGGACGTCTTTCTCACTGATTTTTAAAGCAACTTTTTAGTACAAAGATTACTAAAAAGTTGCTTTAAGAAGCAGTAAGAAAGTCATCTTAAACCAAGCTTAAGCATAAGATTTTGTAAACTCGCTTCTTTTGATTTCCAGGCACTTGGAACTGCTGAAATGGTTGCTGATATGATCCTTGGTAACCCAAGCAGAGTTGACTGCAAGCCCTTCTCAGTAGAAGGCAGGTTCAGCCATTGAGTTCTTAAAAGGTACTTAGAATAGAATCAGTGATTGATCACAGTAGATCATGACAGGTCGAATTCCAGGTTCTGAGTGAACCTGAAACATGTTTTATTTGAAGTCAAATAATGATCTTTCTAATGAAATTTTTAGAGTTGGAAGTTAATTAAAGAAAGCCTTTTTTTTGTCATTGATTTTTCATGTCATAGTTGAACATGTCTAATATTGTATGCTGTACAGGAATGGCAAGACAATATTTAGGGGCCGTTTGATCAACTTTTTTTTAAAAAAATAGAATTAAACATATTTTTGATTGTCTATCATTTTATTGAAAATCTTGTATGTCAATTAATGCATTGCATTTATTTTATTTTGTATTCATTGAATATCACATAAGTCATTTAGTTATAAGTTGTTTTTTTTTATTTTGAAGATCTGGGAAAGTGGATAAGAATCCATACATGAGAATAAGAGTGTAAATGAAACGGGTCGAGTATTTACCTCATCGAGGTAACCGTGTTGAGCTCTTATTGAGCTTGACTCAGGTTCATTTAATGAGCTCCAACTTGATTTGTTCCAAAATTAGTAGGCTCGAGCTCAGCTCAATTACTCGAGATCGTTCGAAAGCTTGAGCTTCACTTGAGAAATAATTAAAATTTTTTTGTATATGTTTTATTATATTATTTAGAAATTAATTTAATAATATGTTTTGATTTAAATAAGTGACTCGATGAGCTTACGAGCCGGGCTGAGTTGAGATTGGGATTGAGCGCATTTGATATAGGAGCTCATGCATAGACTTAAGCTCATTACGCAAAAAACTCGTCTCATGAGTTCATTAGCTAGTCAAATTCAAGCTAGTTTGTGAGCGACTAGGCTCACCCAAATTCTTATATGGGAATGAACTTAAGCAAAGAGAAATTTTAGTTTAGGGAGCACTGATTCCTCCAAAGTCGTTTGATGAGTATAATGATGGTAAATTTTTGGGGTTCTTATTATCATGCAATAATCTCATATTACCATGTCATTAAGCAATCAATGAGCTGATTATCATATTAAGGTCTTAAGGCCCCTATTGTGCTTTCCTAATCCTCAATCCATCTTTGATCTTCCAATGGATGTAAGCCTCATTCTAAATTATTCTCATGCTAAAAAATATACCAATCAAAATCAAATCCACTAACTAAAATCACATAAATTAAAATTTCCACATATGTTTTAAACCCAATGATTTTTTTATAAAAATTTTGTTTTATTATAGACAAGTTATATTTATTTTTTTTTCTCAAATGTTTCCCTTTTGTTAATCAATTTATAGATTTGAGAGATTGTGAACATAGTAGAAGGTTATCTTTCCACTACCCTACAAAGTTTTGGAAATGATCTGATTAGACTAGGGGTGTAAACGAGTTGAGTTGAGTCGAGTATTTGCCTTATGAAGCCTGACTCGTTTAATCCTTAATGAACTTGAGCTCGAGCTCGAGCTCGATTAGTGGGCTCGAGATCGACTCGTATAGAAAATATCAAACTCGAGCTGACTCGAAAGCTTGAGCTCGAGATCGAGATCAAGCTCGTTTGATATTATAAAAAAAATAAGTTGTCAAATATTATAAAAAAATAATATTATAATTATATCGAGTATCTTGATAAGCTTTCGAATCGAGTCAGGTTGAGCTTGAACTTGAGCTGAAGCCATAGTGCAGAGCTTTTCAATAGTAAAACCCTGATCAAAGACACCTAAAAAGAGATGATGTATAGATAGTAAGCAATGGTGAAATTTTGGAATGATACAACTTGCTAAGAGCATCCCTGACCTAAATTTCTAATAATTTGATTGTGGTGTAGTATGATATGATTTGATAGGCAATCTTTTGAATGGCATCAAATGTATAAATAAATGTGATTTTGACAATATGTCATAATTTTTACTAATTTAATTTATGAAATTTCTTGTTATTTTATACTAGAATGCTACAATTTGAATTAGAGTGACATTTCACTCTTCAAAAAATTGAAACATAAATCTTTAATTTTTATTTCTTCGCCTTTAAATTGGTATAGATCATTAAAAAATGCATCAAATATGTAAATTAGATCGTATTAAAAAAATAAACATGACAATTTACATACATAACACTCAAAATTTATTTGATTTACATAATGAAAGCTCAAATTTTATTATTTATGAAATTTAGTACTTTGTTAACAGAATCTTCAATGGCACTGTAGATTGCGACAAAAGCTTGTCATACAACCAAACTCCGCCCACACTCATTGTTGTCACCAACACAACCACCCATCCTTCTCCTTCACTTTCTCTCCTTTCTATTTTGCCTCTACCCCCTCAAATATATGAAGAAACCGCTCGTTTCCTCGCTTCCTCAAACTCGGCTCATTTACACCCCCTAACTATCATAACTTGTCAAAAATTTGAATGTATCAACTCACTATAAAATACAAAACTTAAATTGAAAAAAATAAAATAAAACACATTGCTTATATTTGATCCAATTTGAAGTCACAGAATAAAATAACATACTACATATAGCTATATCTTCCATCTTCTATTACATTGTTGAAATATATTTTTACAGAAGCTGCAATTACCCTCTCAACTCCTTGAAAAAGCTTTGAAACTTTCAATATAAAGAAAAAAACAATGGACTGGTTAAGAGACTAAATAATTGGGATGAGAATAATGAAGCTGATGGTAATATTACAGTGTACCATAATGAAATTTGTTAACACAGTATCCCAACTGGATAATGAAATCCATCTTGTTGGATGGCAAAGAAACTTTTCTTGTTCATGTACAATAGGAAAAAAAAAAAGGAACCTTATGATCTATGAAAAAAAAATTCAAAAATTCTCTTCATCTTCAACAAACTGCAACAAATGCCGCAAAATTGAAAGTCTGTGAGTCTCACTACCTTGTATTTTCACTTCCAAAACACTTCTGATGAGCCTGCAGTAGAGCCTCTCCAGCTGTGGCACCCCATAACCTTCACTGCGCTCCATCAACCTGCTCTTGACTGCTCTGATCTGGTCTGCGATGCCGGCATCGTTCGTCTCGGAATCTCGATGAAACTCGTCCTGAGAGATGCTGGCATCCATTCCTGATGCTTCTGTAAGTTCAGAATCAGGAGGGTTTTCAGCTCCATCAGCTTCTGCTTCTTGGGCTGAACTTATAATGGAGCTTGTTGGGTTTGATGGTTCTGTTTCCATTGCACCCTTTGATTTGTCTTCAGCATTTGAAACTAAATTTACATCAAATGGATATAAAGACATATTGAAAGTTATAATTTGACAAATAAGATATAAAATTATATTTGCTGTGAAATGATGTTTCTATCTTACCAATGCACATGTTTAAATTCTCCTAAATAAAATATTTAATGATTACTTCGGATAACTTACATGCATATAATTATTATTATTATTATTATTATTATTATTATTATTAGTAAAATGAATGCAGGGTAAAGTCCATTGATAATGGTTTCCGATGACTGGCGGTGGAAGTGGCAATCTTGTTTTGGATTAACTTTGATTTGGTGGAGAAATATCATCCTAGAAGGAAAATTAGGGCAAACCCTAATTTATGAAACCTAAGGCGTATCAGTTTCCCTTTGAAAATCAATGATTGAATGATAAAAATTTATGCTATTGCTTGAGTTCTTGGGAGATCTTGAGAGTGCTTGGTGAGAGAGCGAGATCCCTAGAAGAGGGAATTTGGATCACCCACCAACCTCTGAGACGGCCAGGTTCGTGGTTCATTACTCTTATCTTTTTTATTTCTTTACGTTCATCATCTCATCTCCACCTTCTAAACCCCTCATCACCACTGGCCACCTAATCCCATGCCAACTAGCCGCCGGCCTAGGCATTAATCCCATCTCCTTGAACCGCCGGCCACCTTACATCCACCCTCACCCGAACCCATTCCACCCGCCGGCCACTCCCCTTTGCCTTCCCCTCCCTCACTAATTGCTATCACACATTTCCTAAATTAACTCTTCATATTTTAAGGAACTCAAATAATTACAAAATTCAAATTTATTTGAATTTGGAATTATTTCCTAAAATATAAATCCTATATTAGGAAAGCTTTTAAATTCCTTCATATTTAAATTTTGAATTAAGCTTGGATGAAATCCTTCTTCCCAAATTTGATTCCTTAAATCAATAAGGCATTAAAGGCTCCCATAACTCCTCCCTCTATTCCCCTATGTCGCCGGCCCCATTAAATTCCTTTTGGAATTATTTCCAAAACTCAAGCTACCACTTTGGAAATAATTCAAGTCCTCTTTATTCCCTCTTGGCCGAAATCTCCATGCTCCCAATCTATTCAAAATTTTTCTAAAAGAGGATCTCCCCCATTTGGAATTAAATTAAATTCCTCCCTCTCTCTTGCCCGCCGCCCCTCTCTCTCATCCCCTTCATTAATTCTTTTCAATCAAGGGGAATAACAAATGAAGGATTTGAATTAAATCCCTTCCCAAAATCTGAACCCAAATTCCCTAATCTCTTTCTCCCATGGCCGGCCACTTATTCTCCTTTCTTCCTTGGGGGATTTTGAGATAAGCTCCTCTCTTTCAATAGGAGCCTTCAAGAGAAGTACCAACTAGCATGTTCAACACTTCAACGCTAGAAAAACTTCTTTATCTCTAAGTTGAACCTACAAGGAAACTACGACGAACTTCTTCAACAACTCGACTACTTGTTTTCGGACTTGGACTAAGGTGAACTTCTTCCCCTTTTTCAATTACCTTTCTAATCCCCTAATATTGTAGGTGATGATGATTCACACGGAGCTGTGCTTCACCTTTTCCTAAGCTTAGTAAACGCAGGATTTTGTTTTAGTAAACGTAGGCTTGAGTGTACTTTCTATGCTTCTAATCTTATTGTTAGATTAGGGATTTTTGTTGAAAGCTATTTAATTAGCATGATTGTTGAATTTCTAACTTATTTTGATTTTCCAAGTGTTTAGCAAGCGGCTTAGCCTAAACGTAGGCACCCCTCTCTTATTTTATTTTATTTTATCGTTTTGATTGCTAACAGTTTTAATCTTACTTGCTTAAATCAATAAGTTGTGCAAGCTCTTTTCAAAATTACTTCGAGCATTGTAGTCCTACATCAGAATGGGTATGAAAATATCCTATTTACTTGATTCCAATTCAGTTATTTGTAAAATTTGGAGTAGAATTAAATTATATATGTATTCAATTGAAATAGATAATAAGTGACACTTCATAAATTTTTTTTAAGATAGTTTATTAGATTTCTATCTATGATTTGAAAAAAAAAATTAACTACCGTTTGTTCTCGATTCGGTATTCTCTTGGATTCTTATTCACAACCTAACAAAATGATTTTTAGAATTTTGTAGCACCTCTAAACTTTCATAACATCAATCACCTTACAAATTTGGCCATGAAAAAGATAAAATAGATTCCTCATTCTTTTTCAATTAATGGTTATAAGATCTATTCAAGAGCCATGCCTCCAACATAAGCTTTTTCTACTTTATTGTTTAGCATGCGTGAGTAATTCCCTCATGTGAGGATGTTTTCCTAGTCCAGACATAAGATGATGTGCCAAAATAATAGCGCAAAAAAAAAAAACACAACATACCTTTCTTGAAACATTGGCAAACATAAACAATAATATTAAAACAAAGGCACACAAATTTTTCTCTATCTATGATTCCCGCCCCCTTTGTATCTTTCTTCTAAAAAAATTTTAAGTTTTAAGGGTGTAATTGTGTCAATGTGTAAAGTCTAGCGTTTGTCAATGAAAAGTGTCTTTAAGTTGTAATATTTACATTTATATTTATGTTTTAACAAAATAAGATATGAGTCCTTGCAATCTGTTTTTTTGGTAGCGTCATAAGAGCCAGATGAATTCCCGGACATTACCTATTATCAGGACTAGTTTCCAACTCAGTTTTGGCGAAAAAAGTGATGAAGGAAATCAATTGCTAGCAAAATCGACAGATCTATTTGATATTTCTACCTTTTATTGTAATCTACTTGGATCTTATTAGAGAATGAGCATTAAAAACAAACATTACTTCAATGCATCATAACATCCAGCATTCAAAAGAGTCCGCTGGCATTTCAAAGAAAAAGTAGATAATTTTAATCATCAAATACTGATCAAATAATTAAAATTAAAAAAAATTACCTGGTTGCTCATTGTCTACATTTTTTCTTGGCTTTTTTAACGCATCATAACTTTGTGACAAGTTCACTTCTGGCTGCGCGTGGCGAAGGCGTGCACTCGATCTAGTAACAGCAGTAAGTTGAACAACAGGTGCTGATGGAATACTCAATCCACAAACATCATCTGGTATATGAATTGGGCCGCCTTGTGCAGCAATTTTGTCACAGGATAAGACCAAAGCTGGGTCCATTTGTGATAACATACCTTGCACCTGAAAAATGATATTAGCCCTTTATTAGAATGACAAATGGCACTTTCCAAAGTTTGATTCCATAGGTATAGTAAATAAATAAATAAATTCGGATCGTACCGCATCACGGAGCTCGTAAGCCTTGCTAACAATCCTAGCACCATTATAATCATCTCCATTAAAAACCTAAACAAGATTCAATCAAAAGAATTATGAGTTGAGAAGAATAAGCAACCATGAAAAGCACATTTCCTTGTCACAGAAAGATTTCAAAACTGCAGATGCTTATAATCAAGTACAAATGACTCCCAATCAACTGAATTGATACTAAAATAGAGTAAAAAAACAACAAAAGGATTCATTTGTGCAAGTTGTATGTTCTAGAACAGAGAAACATACCTTAGCATTCATGACAATTAGGTCAACGTCTTGTACAAAGAATGAAAGAGTAGAATACTGTCCAGAGTCCACTCTCTGCAAAATAGTAGCCATATCTATGGGATTCTGGATGATGGAACGATAGTTTGGAGCATCTTCATCTGAGACTGGGTAGTGAAACATACTGAACCGTTTATCATACAAAATCCTGATCAAAGAGATATGTTGTTCAGATAAATTCATACTAGTCTTTAGAAATGTAATATAACAATAATATGAATTTTTTTAACCTTGAGAATACTTTCCAACCTTATAGATAGGATCAATATTTTATTCATTCTCGTGTTTTCAAAAAAAAAAATGCAATTGATTTGCACTAAACTCAAGTGCTCATTTTCTTCATCATAATAAAGATAAAGACTCAACTAACCACCCACAGTTTCACATATTATAACTAGGTTAACTGATCCATGAAGATAATAAATCCAATTTACTTTGTCAGGGTTTTTCACCTTGGCTCCCAGTTTGTTCATTTTTCAAGGTCATCATGCATTAGATCCCTAGATAATGTTCCCTTTTTAACCTTATTTTCTATTGTCAAGAAAGCTCATAATTTTCCATCTTATTTGATTGAAATTTTTTTTGTGAAATTGCAAATATCAACTTCCAAGATATATGTTAGCAATATTGTCTTCATTGTACTGAGAAATGGCCTGAAGATGCCATATGCATTCTTAGAACAAGTTTTCACCAATAAATGAGCGCTCAAATAACTCCGGACTACCAATAAGTTGGAATAACTGAAATACATAATTTATTACTTGGCTTGTAATTTGCCTCTGCAAGTATGACTGAACAGCATACCGGTTACAAACATCACGGAGGCACATACGCAACCGGCGGAGGGAATGTTGCTCAGCTTCTGCCTTGGCCCTCAACTCAGATGTTTTAGGGTGACTTGGTTCCTTTGGTGCCTTCTGAAGCTCAGGAACGGAGGCTGACTCTTTAGATTTTCTTGCTGATACTTTTGGGATGGAGAAGATGGTTTCAACAACTTGCTCTACAAACTTGGACCTATCTTCTACGGTTGGTCTGTCCACTGCATACCTATTACATTAAAAGGTAGCATCAGTAGAAAATTAAAGCTTACAAATATTAGAATGCAAATATGCGAGTGGAACATACAGAAAATATACACTTCCAAATTTGATGATTTATCTACAGTAATTAGGAATGTGACAAATCATGTTAGAGGTGTAAGTGAGCCGAGCCGGCTCGCGAGTCGACTCAAGCTTGACTCGTTTATCGGCTCGTAAGTCAAACTTATCGATATCACAAGTCGAGCTTGAGCTCAAACTTGAGTTCGTTTATTAAACGAGCTCGAGTTTGAGCTTGATGAAACTCAACTCGCAGGTTGGCTCGAAGCGCTACAGGAATGCGGGACTCGGACCGTTATAGGAATGCAGGACTCGGACCGTCGGACGACGCGGAGGCGGACTCAGACCGAGGCGGACTCAGACCGTCAATCTTGCGTGCGGACTGCGGAACTTGGACCGTCATACGACTTGCTCAGTTGCGGAAGGCGGACGATACGGAACCAAACCCGGATTGTCGAGGCTAGCGAGCCATCTTGAGCTCGTTTATAGTGGGACGAGCTCGACCTGAGCTCGAGTTTGAGTCGACTTTCTGACTGACGAGCATAGCTCGATAGTGCCATTACTTGACTCAACTCGTTTACACCCCTAAATCATGTAAAGATGGACATCAAATATTGCACAAAGATGAATGTTTTAAACAATAAAAATCCCATCCACAACTAATTATTTTTTAATAAGCAACCAATTTCCCACAAATTTGTAGGAAAAAAAACTTAGAATACTCAAACACGCCAAAGGATTATCTTTAATCTGGTGAAAAAAAAAAAGATAATTTACAAGGAATTCTTCCTCAAAAGACCCTCAAAGGTGCTAGAGGGGATGAAAGAGGCATAAGAACCCCATTTAAGTTGAGCCTTCCTCACATAATCTTTAAGAAATTAACATTCTAAGTCTCTTAAAACTCCTTCTCACCCTTATTATAACAACACATGATACAGAAATGATGGATAGAGAGCATACACAGTGCGAGGAGAGAATATGTAAGTTGAATCTCCATCTAGCTCTGACAATGGTTCTGAGGATGTTCCCAATAATATGACAGGAAGCTGTGATGGTAATTCCTCCAAAAGGGTCATCAAGACAGCCTTGAGCTGTTGATGAGCCTGACAAATAAAAGCACGTGAACCATATTAAGGAATACTCTGACATTTTTTAAGATTAATTATATAAGTGCTTACCGTTTCCCACCACAGTTGAAACTGAGGCAAGAAAAGAACCGATGGGGTTGTTCTTCTTGCTTCACTGAATATATGTACCAAAGCCTCCTCTGGTGTCTTTGCACTTGGATCAGAAAGTAGAGAAGGAAGCCCAAGAGAATGAACTGGAAATTTCTCCAATTCATGCAATATAGCAGGCCCAATATGATCCTAAACAAGAAGAATATAAATAAATCTAAACAATGGCATCAAAATTAAACTTAGAGTGATATCATATGAAAAGGTTTTCCAGACAAATACCAGCCCAGAACTTTCATCACCACAAATCAGGAGACGGGGCCTATAAACAAGAGGGATTGTAGGACCATAGGAGAAAACAGATAGCCTGCTGATATCTGAATTTGAAAGAAAAGGAAATATTTCACCTATATGCTTCATGATTCTCTGGAGATGACTTTGTAAAAATGAAGAAACAATGGGGGATAGTGGCCTTGAATGCACGATTGAACCCCTGTGAGCCGCAGGAGTGATTGTAGACATAGCTTCCAGGAAATGAAACTTTTGCACATTAATAGAATTGACATCTATGATGAACTTTTCATCACTAGTGTAGACTTGAGGATACTTCTCACGGAATGCCCTGATGGCAGCTTCTGTGCATAAAGCTTTCAAATCAGCTCCGCAATATCCTACACAACTAGCTGCAAGTTCCCCTTTTAGCTCTTCTGAAGGATGTTCCTTCCATTTTCGCGTATGAATGTCCAATATTTCTGCACGTGCCTTGCAGCTAGGAAGGGGAAAGTTAAATTCTCGATCGAATCGGCCAGGACGACGCAATGCTCCATCAATAGCATCAATCCTATTAGTTGCCCCTATCAAAACAACTTGTCCGCGTGAATCAAGACCATCCATTAAAGCAAGTAGAGTTGAAACAATAGAATTGTGAATCTGTTCCTGCTTGCTGGACCTAACTGGTGCAAGGCCATCTATTTCATCAAAAAAGATTATTGATGGCTGATTTTTTTGAGCTTCCTCAAAAAGTAATTTCAGCTGCCTCTCTGCTTCTCCAACCCATTTGCTAAGAACATCAGCTCCCTTCCGCATATAAAAGCTAACTTTCTGACCAGCCTTTGAGGCAGCACAAGCTAGTGCCCTAGCAATCAATGTTTTACCTGTGCCTGGAGGGCCACAAAGCAGGACTCCTCTAGGGGGAGTAATGCTATAGTTTGCAAAGAAATCAGGGTAAAGTAAGGGGAAGAAAACCATTTCTTTTAATGCATCAATGTATTCTGACAGGCCTCCTATGTCATCAAAACTTATATTTTCATCAACCTGCAAAGGCTGAACATCTGCCCCTCCCTTTGAACTTGGTCCAGCAGTTTGAACACCTGAAGTAAGAGAGGCCAATGTGTCACCTTGATGAGCCCAACCAGATGCTGCAACATTCAAACCCCATGCTGATGTTCCATGCATATCAAGACCACCAAAGAGCCATGGAGCTCCACCTTTTCCACTCCGCATCCATGGTATAGCTGGGCCTTCGTCTAACTCATCCACAAGAAGAGAATCATCTGAATCATCAACTCTTGAAAAACGATGCTTCTTGTGAACTCGAGGCCCTCCTTTCCTTGCATCCTTGTTGTTTTTGGTACCCATTCCATGATGCAGTATCCTGCGAGGTGTTTGTTTTCCTTCCTTGTCAAGTGTCGATCTTCTAACCTCTGCACGATCCCGCAAATCATATCTCCTCCTCCCATCCTGTTCTTCAACATCTTCATCATCCTCATCTAGTTCTACCTCATCACCTCCATCACCATCAGCTTCATCCTCCCCATCATCCTCAACAGCATTTCCATTTTCTGCTTCATCCTGCTCCTCTTCCTGTTCTTCTTGTTCTTCCGAACTTTCATGTTCATCTTCAGATTGTTGGTATCGTTGAACTGCTGTCCCTCCAACAGATTTTCTCGGTCGGAGGCCTTCACGTCGTGGAAGACTCCTAGAATTCAGCATTCCCCTACTCCTAGGGTAGGCAGACAATTCGTTATGGCTAGGATTCTCACGTTGTGGAAGACTCTTAGAGTTCCGTATCTTCCTATCCCTGGGGGAGATGGACAGTTCATCATGGCTGGCATTGTTCTCTACCTTGCTTCTAGAAGAACGATACTTCGGGGCCTGCATTGAAACATTACTATTAGTTTCAAAACAAACACTAGAAGAACAACATGAAAGGTGTTAGCATGAAGTTCCTAAACAATCAAGCCAGTAACGGACCTCTATAAAATTCTACACATGGGAGAGTTCAAAACCTCACCATTAAATCATCATCTGTTCTGGAACTGTCTGTTTCATACTCCTCTAGATTAATAGAAAGTTTTCTTTTCCTTGTAGAGCGGCGAAGATTTTTTGCAACAGGCTGCAGTCGGAAATTTTTATTATAAGATTGGCAGTACTATTTGTAAGAAAATAAGTTGATGCTTGGCTAATTAGTTTTATATTATCACCTAAAGAATAATTTAGATATATACATTAGATTTCACAGCATATTGCAACAGATAGCTAAATAATTGCTTGACACGGCCCACAATCAAAAGCAGCATGACAAAGTTTATCAGAAAATTTATTGCGTAATTGATAAAAACAAGCTTGAAATTTTACATACAAATATATGTAACTTTGATAGAGAACAAAAAACAAATCAAGCAGTCAAATGGGTATAAATCTTTCATACATAAAGTGAGATTTTGACATTTTGGCAGAAGATATACATAATTGTCCAAAAGGGACATTTTTTGGTAACTAGGATGGTTAACTTCAAAGGTTAAGCTTCTTCAATAAATAGCTTTTTAAAATAATAAATATTTTAAAAATCCAAATAATCATTCAAGCCTGCTCGCCACCTCGGAAACCGAGCCTAACCAAGCTCGAGTTTGAGCTCGCAGCTCAATAAGCTCGGCTTGCGAGCTCATTATCGAGTCTAGTTCGAGCCGACTTAGCTCACTTACACCCCTAGATCCAAATATCCTTCTGCATCATCTGATTTTTTGGGACTGTAAATATCAGTCTACTCCAATGAGCCCAAAACGGATCCAAAATGTATTCTGCATAGTCTGATTTTTCGGGATTGTGACTTCAGTCTACTCCATATATTTCATTTGCTTTCCTCGCCTATTGATTCCCAGGCGTTTTTTTCCTAAATTTCCTTCCACGGCCTCTGTTTCCCGAGACTGAAGCAAGCGGGCAACACTTTCACTTTCCTTCTTTGATTTCTTCGGTTAACATTGCAGTAAATTCAATTTTTTGACTGCCTTGTGAGTTGTGAAAAACCAAGAGCTTTTTTGCATGGAAATTTTAAAAAACTGCTGGAATTCACGAGTGTCTGGAAACATGTTGTATTTGATTATATTCTAATGGATTCTAAAAAGTATTTGGGTCATTTAGGGTTATACATAGGACTCCTAAGAAATAAAATTCATTAAAAAATTAGTGAAATAAAGTTACAATTTTTTCTCAATTCTTGTGTGTTGCTTGATGCGAATTATTTGTACTCTTAATATATCTTGACAATTACTTCTTAAGTGAGTCTCCTAATATTGTGGTAATACCAGAATCTTCTATAGGTTATTTTTATACTTGTTCTAACTATTAACTTATGTAATGTTTGGTATATGTGATTGAAGTTTTGCTGTGTAAGGCATGTCAAATTTTAACTGTTGCTAAATTTTATATTTTCCTCAATTTTCTTATGAGATTTCAAATTTTGGCAGCTATTGTATAACTATTTGAAATGAAAAAAAGTGTATTTGTTCTTTTTGAGTTGAATGTGACAAATTTTGCTATAATTGAGAGTTAATAATATGTTAATTGTGTTTTTTGTATTTTATTGAGCATCTCATCCTATGTTACATTTTATATTAATTTTTGCACTCAATTTCTTCAAGAACGATAAAAATTTGAATGTGCTATAGTGCTAGACAAAGGAAACAAAAAAGAAAAACCACAATAAAGAAGTGCCACCCGTCTGCTATAGTTCAGGGAAAATAGTGATTGTAGAAGGAAAATGAGACAAAAATGTCAATGACATGGTCTCCGGAATCAAAATTCATATCAAGCAAAGCTAAGAAGCCAAAGATGGCAAAGAATGAGCGTGAAATACATAGAGCTGGCTGAAGCTACTATCACAAGAAAATTAGAGAATGCAGAAGGCAAGCTGGTACAGTCCTAGGAAAGGAAAGATATGACATTCCCAAATTTTTTTCTTAGGAAAGCAAACTTATTGTATTTGTGCCTTTTGATATTATATATAGGCATGAAAAATTCATTGAATTTTGAGTAATGAAAAAAAAAATAGTTTTCTTCATTCTTTCATATCCACTCTAAGCTTGTTGAAAAACTTTGTAAACTCATTATTGATAGTGAAAGATTTATTAAGACGAAGGATAGTTTGGAAGATGATAAATGATGCTTTTCGGCTTCACTAATAGATGAGTTCATGAGAATCACGAAACCTTATATGAGAAAATTTATTATTTTATGCTTTGACAACATTTTGATTGACTAATCTAGATAGAATCATTTAGTACATCTTAGGAAAGTGTTTGAAAATTTGCAAAACAAAAAACTACATTTAAATCTGAAGAAGTATTGCATTGTCATTTATCACGTGTTTTATTTATAGTTCCTGTGGAATGGATTATTTGTTGACCTTGTTCAGGTTAATGCGATCAGACATGACATAACCTACAATTCACCAAAGACTCTAAATGAGGCTTTATCCAGACTTTTGGATGTTGAGAGATATTATGAAAATTCTATAATAACTGCTAATCAAGTATTCAAGAACCAAAAGAAATATCTTTATATTCCGCTCAAAAACTTGTCAAACACAAAGTGAAACAAAAATTATACAAGATTACATATAATCTTGTTAAAGAAATTAGTTTTATGAATTTCCTTCTAAAGATGTTTCAGACATAGTGGATCATTTATTATTACAAGAAGAATCTACATCATATTTTAATAAATTTGAATGGGCGCCGCCTACCTAAGAAGTTAGATATGAACTTGAACTTTATCTTTAAACAAGATGTAAGATATTCATATAGCAATAAATGTTAAGCATGTAATCAGCCATGTTGCCATTCACACCCAAAAAGACAGCTTAGTCATTGGTCTGCATGGTGAGCAAATCTCAGAAGATTAACCCTAAGCCTCTAGGGACTTCCCACCAATCCAAGCGTGAGGGCTCTCAAGAGGAGCCCTCTCAATCTTTAAACAAAATCATGCTAAATGACATCACTCTTAATAGACTCATAGAAGGAGCTTCATTTACCCGACAAGAAAGATCAAAAGGAGCCAATGGTGGTTTCGAAATAAAATGTCCCAAGCTCGGTAGCAACTAAGATGAATAATGAATCTAAAGGAGAAGCAAGTACAATCAAGGTTGTGAAAATCAAACCAGACTAGAACAAGAACAAGTAAAAGTTCAATGGTTCGACGAGAGTTGAACCAAATGACATAATAAAAATTAAAATTATTTAAATAACATTTAAATGAAAAAATAATAACATAATAATTATATAACAATGTAAATTTGTGGCTGTGAATTTGACTTTTAATAGAACACAATGGAGAAAAATGATTCATGCAGCTGACCCCACGTAGTGGGAAAAAGGCTTGTTGATGTTGTTGTTGTAAATTTGTGACTAAAAAATAAATAAAATTCTTACACAAATAATATCTTTTATAAATTTAAATGTAAATATCTTCAATTTTAAATTTAATTCATATTTAATATAAATTTAGTCACATATAAGCTTATAAATTTAATATAATTATTATTAATTTATATTATATATTTAAATATTGTTGTTGTTGTAAATTTGTGACTAAAAAATAAATAAAATTCTTACACAAATAATATCTTTTATAAATTTAAATGTAAATATCTTCAATTTTAAATTTAATTCATATTTAATATAAATTTAGTCACATATAAGCTTATAAATTTAATATAATTATTATTAATTTATATTATATATTTAAATATAATGTACACCAAATTCAAATTATAAATTTAGATCTATATATTATTGATGCTAGATTATTTATCATTAATAAATAGATAAAAAATTAAATTTTTACAATGTATAGTTAAATAAATAAAACTTAAATATTAATTATGTTGCACGGATACTCCTATTTACGAGGCGTGTTGTATCGGACACGTTTCGGATACAGATAAGCCTCCGATACGGCACGGATACGTGTCGGATACGACTTTGTCGTATCCAATTAAAATACTATTTAAATTTGACTGGACAAGCGTATCTCCTATTAAAAAAAACACATAGCCGTAATTTACCCTATTCTTTTCGGCTTTCCACCGTTTCCGCTCAATATACATATTCATTTATGCGGCTGAAACATTTCAAAGAGCTAGGTTTTTCGTTTCCACACAAGTGTTCATCTTCTTCGTTATAGTTGAAGGAGCGGCTCGATGACGCGAGCATAGAAGCAACTCCAGGATCATCCTTGTCGACAAAGAGGCTTGACGACCGCGAGCAATTAAAAGTCGATAGGATCATCCTTCGTGGATGCGAGCGGCTTGACAACGCGAACAGTGAAGGCGACGTGAGCAGTGAATGCTTTCGTTTTCTCATCGTTCTTCCTTCATTCTTAATCATAGGCTACGGTATCGAAGCCGGTAATCATGAAACCTCGGTATCGCTTGGTACCCAGAACGTACTGGAACTCAGTATTGCCGGTACTAGTCGATACCACTAGCGTACTGGAACCGGTACGCTTGGTATTGAACATCGGTACGTCCGGTAACTTACCTGCGTATTGCTCGGTACTACTCGGTACCGAGCGGTATTGGAACTCAGTACTGGTCGGTATTGGAACTCGATACTGCTCGGTATTGGAACTCGGTACCGCTTGGTATTGGAACTCGGTACCGCTCGGTATTGCTCGGTACCGCTCGGTATTGCTCGGTATTGCTCGGTACAGCTCGGTATTGCTCAGCACCGCTCGGTATTGGAACTCAGTATCGCTCGGTATTGCTCGGTACCGCTCGGTATTGCTCAGTACAGCTCGGTATTGCTCGGTATAGAGGGGTACCGAATGGTACCAAGTGGCACCGAGAAGCTAAAACATGCTCGGTACCGCTTGGTATCTTTTCATAAAAACAACTTTAAAAATAAACAACACTTCAAAATTACTCTTTCAGGTCGAACCCCGCCAGGGAGCAGCGCCCCCTTGGACCCCCGGCAGAGTCGCAACATATCTACACTTTCACTTAAATTTTTTCATGTTTCAAATTCATATGTTTTTATTGTATAAATCCTTTGTAGGATAATGAGCTCTAGTGGAGTAGGAATTGGTTTTGATGATGGTCCATCAGAAATCAATATT